TATTCTTCAAGTAATTACGGTTTTTTTTTTCTTTTGAACATGCTTTCAAGAACTATAGTCCATTGTAAAGACCCCTTTTTATCAAATTATTAACTAAACCTGCGTCAATGCCTTTATCTTATCGTAATCTCCAGCTTTTTACCCAAGAAAATTCTAATATAGTCTGTATAACCTCGTTATTTTCACATATTGAGGGGTAGAGCTCACTCCTGGTCCAATATTTTTGTAGGCCACACTTTTTTTCAAGGCAGTGGATCAGCTAATTGGAAGGAGGTTGGGCTCTCAACTGGTCTCTTAGTACTTGCCTATTTTTCAACGGAATCTCTCTGATTTTTCATTGAATACATTTCACGTGTACATCAGAGCAGTTGATATTTGCTGTTTAATATCTTGTTATTATTATTTTATATTTTTTCTCTTTCTTTCTTCTCTTATGGTATGCGGTATAGTCACGAAGTGATGTCCAGTAAGGTGCCCACTAAGAGGACTCGGTCAGACGGAGTTAGCTCACCAGCCAAACAAAGAACTCGTCGCTGCCTACGAGAAACATCTCCAATAACAAAACTGAACACTTCAGAACCAGAACCTCAGCCAGAACCAGGAACTTCTTCCCCGTCGAAGAATCCCCCTTTCTTTATTCCAAACCCCTACCAAGTGCTTCAAAATGACCGAGAAGTAATGGAGTCTGCAGCAATACCCAGAGAACCAAAGTCTCCTCCGATATTTGTGAAAAACATCAAAAATTTCCAGTTGTTCTGCACCCAACTAAATAAAATCTGCTCTGGCAGTTAATCATGCCTTAACAGGACCAACGATACTAAAATAACACCAGATATTGCTGAAACCTACCGAATAATAGTGAAGTGCCTCTCAGAAACGAATGTGAATTTTCATACGTACCAGCTTAGGCAGGAGAGATCGTTACGAGTAGTAATAAGAAATTTACACTCCTCAACCCCAACTGAAGTGATAAAAGATGAACTACCGACGCTTGGTTTCAAAGTACGTCAGGTAACCAACGTTCTGAAGGAGAATAAGGAGCAACCAAAATGAATCCTGAATTTGCTAGTGGTTATACTCTGATATGTTTACTGTAAAAATTATATAATGAAACGTAGAATCAAGCCAACAATAACGTAACAGGAAAATGGCAGAATATTTCGAAGAATAAATAGTTTTGAAGAATAATTCAATTATAATAATAATTTCAATTGTAATAATGGAAGAATATGTTTCCCGAATAAACATTTTTCAATATGAAATGAAAATAATTTTATTCAGGGACTGAAGCCCCCTTAGAATAATAGTAGAGTTTAAAAAATATGTACATTAGTACAAAAAATACCTAGGATATATAAAAAAAAATATATAAAGGAAAATATAAATATCTACAAAAAACACAGATATATACAATAAATACTGAGATATAAAAAAATCAATAAATAAAAATAAAATGACTTCTAACAATTAATATTAATCTTAATTAATTAATAGATCTTAATATGTTGGGTCGATTTGATCCCACGACCTAACAAAGCCCTTTTACAAGCTTAAGCTTCTCCACCAAAATGAGTATATATTGTATAAGAAACTGGTCGAGAAACTTAACACGTAAAAGGGTTTTCTTAAGCCGCGGGAACGAATTTAGACACGTGTTAAAAAATCAGATTCGAAATTTTTCTCTATTGCAATATTTTCCCTTAATAAATATATATATATATATATATATATATATATATATATATATATATATATATATATATATATATATATATACACCTAGATAAGTGAATGGAAAAAAATCAATAAGATTAATTTTGTTTTATTTAAACTTTTTAAATAATTAACTATGTATCATTAATCATAATTCTGCATACTAATAGCATATGCATATTTACATAGATAACGCATATGTAGTCAGGAAGCTTGAATGTGTTTGCAATGATAAGATCGGACCTTCTGAATTGTGCAAGATCGTCCAAACTTGTCGAACCAGTTCCAACAATGTCAGGATGATGAATGGTTTCGAGTAGAAAAAAAAATGGATAACTTCTTAGGACCTGGATTAAAAGTATTTTATAATTTTTCTTAACAGCATTCCTTTATCTTCGTTAAGATAAATATTTCATAGGCACTAAAACCCGAACAATCTATCTCGAAACCTGATCTGGTAGAATGAGACAATTTTAAAACGTGCAGTTCATCGTATCACTTCAGTATATGTTCGACTGTTTTTGGAGTAATTTACTGCCTCTATGAAGTTAGGTTTTTATTTATTATTTTTAATATAACTTAGTAATCGATTCGTAACTAAAAAGGATCCGTCCATCCACGACTTCTCTTCACTGGGCCGATTATTTTCAGATTTGGTACCAAAATCATAAGTCCCTCAAGGATGACTCGCAAGCCGATACTGTATATTATCTGCAATTTCTTTTCAAAATGGTGGCCGATTAAAGGTTTCAAATGCCATAACCATTTGTAAAAGTATTTTGAAAAGATTATACCAAAATCTTAATTTAATAAATAAATAAAAACTACATATTTGTTAATCCAATTATCATTAGCACGAACATCTTTTCGTGTTAATGATAATTGGATTAACAAAACTTCGACTAATTATTTATTTACTAATATTTGAGATACTTTCTTGTAATGCTAATTAATCTTCTATTAATAATCTCGTAGTTAGTTTTGTATTTTTTTTTTAAATTTCACTTACATATATCTGGAGGTTGAGCGTGATCTCGGCTCGATCACCTCTCTTGGTCTATAACCGTTGGAAAAGTATTGAACCCAAGATTCTTAATGTTTATAGTGGTACAGGTCTTTTTTTATTTTATTTTTTTTTATTTTACGTTACTATAGTTACTATTTATAGCTTACTACCATATCATTTTTTTTATTACTGGATTATTTGTTTATTGATAAATATTACAATCTGTCTTAATAAAGGACATTTATAATATAGTTCTGAGAGAACATTCGCACCATATTTACAAATTAAAAAAAAAAAAAAATTAAATAAGGTAATTTCAAAATAATATAAAACTAAATAAGAACAAAATGGGTTCTTTCTGTATAAATTTTAGTTTATCCAGACGGGACGTGGATCTATATCTCTTCCGATCGTAGTAATACCGAGATCTTGCTCCGACGCGCTTGGAAGAAAACTGCTTCATATCTATAAATCCGGAGATATCGTTACTTTCTAATGAAGTGAAGAAATATCTGAAACTGAGATGTGGATATGACGTGCATGCCGGGCACTGAATTACTAAAGACCAAACTAGGCATTTTCTTAGTGCACTAGTTTTTGATATGCGAAAAAATAAATGCAATAGAAAATTGAAGGAATTACAATAATAATAAGTTACAAGATAAAAAGAGTTATCTTGTAACTCCTACAACTTTCTATATATTTTTTTCGTTTTAGCTCTGATGAATACTTGCATAGTTTTGTTAAATAAAACGTTAAATGTTAAACGTTAAATAAAATGTAGGCTTAATAGTTTCCAATATTAAATAGTAAGGGTATTACTTTCACTTACCTATATATGTAATATATAGTAAGGGTAGGTATTGCGATTGTGAAAATTTTCTAGTCTGAGTTTTCAACGGAAATACACGTTTTGAGGTTCCCTGAGTTCAAATAACCAAGTCCCGCAAAATTGTCTGTGTGTGTGTTTATGTTAGCAGTCTAGCTCAAAAACGAAAAGTCGTACGAAACTGATATTACGTATTGAAGATAGGTATATGAGTCAGACGTTAAAGCAACTTTTTCGTAAAAATCGGCTAATCGGTAGCGCCACTTTATATAAACGGTGAAAACATTACGTTGGCTTGAACATAATTTGGTGGCTAGAAGTTTCTTCCTGAGGTTTCTTTTTAAAGTTATTCACTAATTTAATTTTCTAAAAGGTTGCATGATGATTTTTCGGAATAAACGGACGATAGATACCTAAGTATTTAAATATAATATCAGATCTAAAATTATTAAACTACAGTAAATGTATCTAAGGTTATAAACATATGCATTATACATCCATGAAATGATTTTATATTTTACTTCTTCACACAAGTACAATGAAATAGTTTTTAAAACAATGTCATTGTCTTGATTAGGTGGATTTTAAATACTTTTTTCAAACTTAAATATTTTAAAAGTTTATATTTGGATAGTAAATGCCATTTAATTTCTTTGAAAACATGTGATTTACGTAATATATTATTTATAATTTATTGCCACTCTCCGTTACCTTCTACAACTTTCTATATTAGATATTGTTTTTTATAAAATTCTCCGCTTTCCAATCATATATAATACGTATATGAACCATTTTAATAAAACAAAAAATTCAAAATCTTAACCCCCTCTCAAAGTTTGAGGTCTTGCGTTTCAGTATACGTAGAATTCGAAAAACGAATACAAATTTTTTTGTACGTCTCCGAAACTGCTGGACCGTTTCTTTTTTTCAAATTTGGATTTAAAATCAGACGTCACTCGAGGATAATCCTCCTTCATCGACATCACTATCCGCCTTTTACTTTGCAGATGGCGGCCGAAAAATCTGGGTTACTATAGACTGTAGCGCCTAAACGAATGTGCCGATTTCAATGAAACTTGGCTAAAGTCTTCTTCTTGATGCCCTTTAAATTCGTCTATATAATATACTTAAACGAAAAAAAGTTACGAGTTATGGTACAATTAGATTCCGAATAACCCAAAAAGTATACAATTTTTTTGTGGATACTGTGATAAGATGTTTCAAAGGTACTTAAATTTCCTAAAAAATGAAGAAAGTTTCATCGAAATTAGAGCACCACTAGACTAGTAAAGATATCGCGATTTTTAAATATTTTTTGGTTTATTATTTTCAATAATTAACCATTGTAATCGAACAAAAAATTCAAAAACTTAACCCCACCTCAAAATTTGAGGTTTTTCTTTTCAGGATACGGAGAATTCGAAAAACGAATACATTTTTTTTTTGTTTCAG